GGGCCATACTGGGAGCACTGGGGCCATACTGGGAGCACTGGGGCCATACTGGGAGCACTGAGGGGACACTGGGAGCACTGGGGAGACATTGTGGCCCAAACTGGGAGCTCTGGGGCCATACTGGGAGCACTGGGGCCATACTGGGAGCACTGGGGCCATACTGGGAGCACTGGGGCCATACTGGGAGCACTGAGGGGACACTGGGAGCACTGGGGAGACATTGTGGCCCAAACTGGGAGCTCTGGAGCCATACTGGGAGCACTGGGAGGGGCAGGGCCTGCTCCCCTCATGATATTCCTGCCTTTTTGTGGCCCCGCCCCCTCAGATGAGTGACACCCCGGAGGGCGGGGCCTCTGTGAGGGCACCGGGCCCACACCGGTGACACCGGGGCTGTACTGGGAGCACTGGGGCCATACTGGGAGCACCGGGGCCATACTGGGAGCACCGGGGCCGTACTGGGAGCACTGGGGCCATACTGAGAGCACTGGGAGGGACACTGGGAGCACTGGGGAGACATTGTGGCCCAAACTGGGAGCACTGGGGCCATACTGGGAGCACTGGGGCCGCTCCCCTCAGCCCCTCACCTGTCCCCTCAGGTGAGTGACGCCCTGGGGGGCGGAGCCGCCGCCATCTCGTACCAGCGCGGGGCCGGGGCGCTGCTCCGGGCTCTGCTGCTGCTGCCGTTCGCTGCCGCCCTGGGCGGAGCCGCCTTCCTTGCCGCCGGCAACACCTTGCCCCGGGACCGGCAGCGGGCCCGGAGGGAGGCCCGCGGTGAGAGAGCGGGCCCGGGCGGGCGGGAGGACTGAGGGAAAATGGAGGGAAGGGGGAGGAGAGGGCGCCTCCCGGCGGGCGGGAGGACTGAGGGAAAATAGAGGGAATGGGGAGGAGAGGGCGACCCCCGGCGGGCGGGAGGACTGAGGGGAAATGGAGGGAATGGGGGGGGAGAGGGCGCCCCCCGCGGGCGGGAGGACTGAGGGTATGGTGAAGGGTAAGGGGGTGAGAGGACGCTCCCTGGAGGGGGGGAGGACTGAGGGAAAATGGAGGGAATGGGGAAGAGGGCGCCTCCTAGTGAGCGGGAGGACTGAGGGAAAATAGAGGGAATGGGGAGGAAAGGGCGTCTCCTAGTGAGCGGGAGGACTGAGGGAAAATGGAGGGAATGGGGGGGGAGAGGGCGCCCCCTGGCAGGCGGGAGGACTGAGGGAAAATGGAGGGAATGGGGGGGAGAGGGCGTCTCCTAGTGGGTGGGAGGACTGAGGGAAAATGGAGGGATGGGAGGACTGAGGGAAAATGGAGGGAATGGGGAGGAGAGGGCGCCTCCTAGTGGGCGGGAGGACTGGGGGGGAGGGGGCTGCCCTTCTAGAAACTTCCATAGGACCCCACGGAACCTTCTAGAAGTCCCATAGAACCTTCCAGAACTCCCATAGAACGTTCCGGGCCCCTCCCCCAGGGCTGCCCCCGGACGGCGCCGGTGACGACGACGACGACGACGACGATGGCGGTGGCGACCCCGCGGCCATCGTGGTGCCCCCCGCGGCCGGAGGCCGGACACGGCGCGTGCCCGTGGCCCACGTGCTGGCCTGAGTGACCACCAGTGACCAGTGAGTGACCACTGACCTCAGAGTGACCACGGGCTGGCCAGAGTGACCACGAGTGACCAGTGAGTGACCATTGACCAGTGAGTGACCCCTGAGTGACCAGTGAGCACCTCAGAGTGACCACGGGCTGGCCTGAGTGACCACCAGTGACCAGTGACCACTGAGTGACCACAAGTGACCACGAGTGACCACTGAGTGACCACTGAGTGACCAGTGAGCACCTGGGAGTGACCACGGGCTGGCCAGAGTGACCACGAGTGACCACGAGTGACCAGTGAGTGACCACTGACCGCTGAGTGACCCCTGAGTGACCAGTGAGCACCTCAGAGTGACCACGGGCTGGCCTGAGTGACCACTGAGTGACCCCTGAGTGACCCCTGAGTGACCAGTGAGTGACCACTGACCGCTGAGTGACCACCGAGTGACCACTGGCCCCCTGACCACCCTGGAGTGACCGCGGGCTGGCCTGGCAGTGACCGAGTGACCGCTGACCGCTGCTGTGGTCACTCACCCGCGCCGAGTGGACGCTGGAGTGGACGCTGACCAAAACTCCCGATTTTTGGGGTCCCCGCCCCAAATTCGGGACCCCAACGCAAAATTTGGGGGTCCTGGACTCAGATTTTGGGACCCCAGACCCGAATTTTGGGGTCCCCAACCCCAATTTTGGGGTCTCAACTCGGAATTTGGGGTTCTGGATCCAAAATTTGGGGTCCGAAATCCAAATTTTGGGGGTCTCAAATGCAAATTTTGGGGTCTGAAATCCAAATTTTGGGGTCCCCAACCCCAATTTTGGGGTCTTGGGACTCAACTTTTGAGACCCCAGCCCCATTTTTGGGACCTCATCCCCAAAATTGGGGTCCCAGCTGCAGATTTTGGGGTCCTAAACCCAAATTTTGGGGTCCTGACCCCATTTTTGAGACCCCCAGCCCCAAATTTTGGGCTCCTGGACTCATTTTGGGGACCCCAACCCCAAATTTTGGGGTCCCAACCCCAAATTTTGGGACCCCAGCCCCCGATTTTGGGACCTCTGCCTCATTTTTGGGGACCCCAACCCCAAATTTGGGGGTCTGAAACTCAGATTTTGGGGTCCCAACTCCAAATTTTGTGACCCCAGCCCCAAATTTTGGGGTCCCATCCCCCGTTTTTGAGACCCCCAGCCGCAAATTTGAGGACCCCGACCCCAAATTTGGGGTCTCAAACTCAAATTTTGGGGTCCCAACCCCAAATTTCAGGACCCCAACCCCAAATTTGGGGACCCCCACCCCCAAAATTTCGGGCTTTATTCCCCCCAATTTTTTTCCTTTTCCCGTAAGATTTTTCCCAATTTTCCTTCCAAATTTTTGGGAATTTTTTGGGACCTCATCCCCAAAATTGGGGCCCCAGCTGCAGATTTTGGGGTCCTAAACCCAAATTTTGGGGTCCCAACCCCAAATTTTGGGACCCCAGCCCCCGATTTTGGGACCTCTGCCTCATTTTTGGGGACCCCAACCCCAAATTTGGGGGTCTGAAACTCAGATTTTGGGGTCCCAACTCCAAATTTTGTGACCCCAGCCCCAAATTTTGGGGTCCCATCCCCCGTTTTTGAGACCCCCAGCCGCAAATTTGAGGACCCCGACCCCAAATTTGGGGTCTCAAACTCAAATTTTGGGGTCCCAACCCCAAATTTCAGGACCCCAACCCCAAATTTGGGGACCCTGACCCCAAATTTGGGGACCCCAACCCCAGATTTTGGGGTTCCAACCCCAAATTTCGGGACCCCAGCCCCAAATCTGGGGACCCCGACCCCAAATTTGGGGCCCCCGCCCCCAAATTTGGGGGTGTCAAACTCAGATTTTGGGGTCCCAACTCCAAATTTCGTGACCCCAGCCCCAAATTTGAGGCCCCCGCCCCCAGATTTTGGGGTTCCAACCCCAAATTTCGGGACCCCAGCCCCAAATCTGGGGACCCCGACCCCAAATTTGGGGACCCCGACCCCAAATTTGGGGTCTCAAACTCAAATTTTGGGGTCCCATCCCCCGGTTTTGAGACCCCCAGCCCCAAATTTGGGGACCCCGACCCCAAATTTGGGGGTGTCAAACTCAGATTTTGGGGTCCCAACTCCAAATTTCGTGACCCCAGCCCCAAATTTGAGGACCCCGACCCCAGATTTTGGGGTTCCAACCCCAAATTTCGGGACCCCAGCCCCAAATCTGGGGACCCCGACCCCAAATTTGGGGTCTCAAACTCAAATTTTGGGGTCCCAACCCCAAATTTTGTGACCCCAGCCCCAAATTTTGGGGTCCCAACCCCAAATTTCAGGACCCCAACCCCAAATTTTTGGGGTTCCCACCCCAAATTTCGTGACCCCAGCCCCA